GGTGTTTGAGCCGTCCCGGAGCCATCGTGGAGGCTTCGTCGGCCGTCTTGACAGCTCACAGTCGCCGGTAATGGGCGAGAGTGCGAATCTCATAAGCACTAGCAAACTGAAATCGATGTTTGTGGCTTCTTCGGACCCAGTTGGAGGTCCTCTCTTGGCTCTGTTGGAGGCATCGTGGGCCGTCGTGAAGCCATATTGGGCCGAATTGGGGCCATCTTTGACCGTCTTCGAGGCATCTTGGGCCAGTTGGGTTGCCTGCCTGGACCATTGTGCAAGCCCATACCGCGGATCGTGGCCTCGGGAGCTGGGGCGATGCACGCACCAGTCTGCGATCAGGCGAGGGGTGTTCCCCTGATTCGAATACAAAATCCCACCAGGCAGCACTTGGCATTCTAACCCGCCTCAACGCGCCGGATGTGCCTTGTCCTCCAATCCTTCCTTCTCCTTCTCCTCCTCTCTCTCTCTCTCTCTCTCTCCTCCTTCCCCCTTCCCCTCCCGTTCCTCTCCTCCTCCTCCTCCTCCTCCTTCTCCTCCTCCTCCTCCTCCTCCTTCTCCCCCCCCCCCCTCCTTCTCCTCCTCCTCATCTTCCTCCCCCGTGCCCTCGTCATTCGTCCTCGCCGTCCCCCTCCTTGCCCCCCCACCTGGCTGCCCGACAGGCGGCCTGCGCGTGTGTGGCGGAGGGGGGGGGGTGAGCGGGCCCGAGTCGCCGAGGAGGTTGGCCGCTCCTGGTGGACGAGAGGGAGGGGGGCGAGGGAAGAGCAGGAAGAGGAGGAAGGGGGGGGAGGGAGGGAGGGAGGGAGGGAGGGAGGGAGGAGGGAGGAGGGGAGGGAGGGATGGAGGGAGGGGGGGAGGGAGGGTTGGAGCAAGAGGGGGTGGAGGAGGAGGAGGAGGAGGAGGCGGAGGAGGAGGAGGAGAAGGAGAGAGGAGGATGACCAGCCCACGACCCATCAACGATGTTGCAATCAACCGTCTCTCCAAATTCCCGATTCATAGGACCCGACAGGGAGTCATTGTCACTGAGGGAATTGCCCCGTTGGAAGGCAACCGTTTGAAAATCCAGAACTGTGCCAGAACACCATTCCTGAAAGTTCAACGGCGCGAATCACCGTTATTGTTGCGTCTGGACGATCCTGAATTGTGCCAGAACGCCGTTCTTAGGTTTTTAACACCGTGAACGACTGGACTGTTGCGCCCTGACGTTCCCATACCGTGCGCAAGCGCTATCTCTGGGACCTGAGTCATGAGAACCCTTGAACTGTTGTAAACTCCAGACGCATGTGCGGGGCGCAAAAGCGACAGCCACATTTTGAAAGCGGACCGCCCTCCATCTGTGACGCTCTTGCAATTTTTGTACGACGAATGTGCGCGGCGCCAAGGCGAGAGCTACATTTCGAAAGCGGACCGCGCTCTATCCATGAATTGGTTGCACATTTCGACCTTCAGGATGATAAATGGTGAGCAAGTCTCAGGCAAAACGCCCGGCCCGCTCTTCCGACCGGCTTCGATGTGCGACAGGGAGACACAATTTATAGGGAACAGGGATGGATGAGGATGAGGAGGAGGAGGAGGAGGAGGAGGAGGAGGAGGAGGAGGAGGAGGAGGAGGAGGAGGACGGAGGAGGAGGAGGAGGGAGGAGGAGGAGGAGGAGGAGGAGGAGGAGCAGGAGGAGGAGGAGCAGGAGGAGGAGGAGGAGGAGGAGGAGGAGGAGAGGAGGAGGAGCAGGAGGAGGAGGAGGAGAGGAGGAGGAGGAGGAGGAGCAGGAGGAGCTGGAGGAGGAGGAGGAGGAGGAGGAGGAGGAGGAGGAGGCGGAGGAGGAGGAGGAGGAGGAGGAGGAGGAGGAGGAGGCCCGCACCCCGCCCCGGCCTCCCCGCCCGCCCTCTCCCCCCAGGCCCCCTTCGGCTCGCGACGACAGTCACCACGGGCGCGCCTTGTGGCCGCCCTCGGCCTCCGGAGCCCTTCCCCCCCGGGGCCCCTGGACCGCCCGAGGCCGACTCGGGAGGCCCGGCCGGCCCAGGAAGGCAGCGGCCCATGCCTCGGGAGGGGGGGGATACCTCGGGGGGGGGGGGGCACGCTGCGAAGAGGCCGCGACGTCGGCCCAGAGGGAGCGACCCATGCCTCTGGGCCCAGAGGTGTGGGCCACTTCCTCCGATCGAGGACGTCGCCGAACCATCCAGCGACGCCTTCGCTACACTTGAGGCGACGGCGCCAAGTCTAGGGCCCGAGGCCGTCATTGAGGCCGGGCGCTATTTTGAGGCCGATCGATGTTCACGGGGGGCCAGGCTGCGAAAGACACGCGACCCATCGGAGGCCTGGGGCTGCGCCGCCGAGCCCTTCGTCGCCCGTCGTCGTCGCCCGTCGTCGTCGCCCGTCGTCGTCGCCCGTCGTCGTCGTCGTCGTCGTCGTCGTCGTCGACGACGTCGTCGTCGTTGTCCGTTGTCGTCGTCGTCGTCCGTCGTCGTCCGTCGTCGTCGTCGTCGTCGTCGTCGTCGTCGTCGTCGTC